TTCTTTCTTTCTTTCTTCTTTCTTTCTTTCTTCTTTCTTTCTTTCTTTCTTTCTTTCTTTCTTTCTTTCTTTCTTTCTTTCTTTCTTGTATTTTAGGGCAGGGTCTACAGGGTGTTCAGGATCTCACTACTAGATCAGACTCAGTGATTCTCCTGTTTACAGCCTCCCAAGAGTTAGGATTACAGGCGCACACCACCATGCCCAGTCTCAATTGCTATCTCTACGTGCCCCAGGGGCAGGGCCAACACTGCAGGTCCAGGGAGCGAACCCTTGGTCCCTGTGCCTGTTTGCAGGCACTTCAATCTGCTGGGCTACTTGGCTGGCCTGAACTTTTTCAACTTAAATACAAAATATACAATTTGTATGCACAATGAAAATGATCTGGTATAGTGGCATATTGTAGAAATCAAAACAGTTACTTTGATTTTGTGTCACAGCTTAGATTTGTGTGCTTTAGTAAAAGAGACTAATGACTAAAATAAAAATCCATTCCAAGACAGCACAACTCAGAAGCCAAAGCTGTGTGAAGTAACTGCAAATGTCAGTGCCATGTGCGTCAGGCTCGGGGACTAAAGGTCAGAGTGGGTTGCTACAACTATTTTAAAATATGTGTATGCTTATGTTGTTTAATGTCTGTCAATGAACTGTGATGAAATATTTTGCAGTCAGGGAAGCTGTGAGGTTAGTCATGGGAACCAGTATCAATAGATGGAAACAACAGAGAGAACTTAGCACAGTAGACCTGTTATGGAATTGATTTACAAAATAGTTTTGCACACTTTTGAATCCTGGATTATGCCCAGTTGCTCTTTGGGCCACCTATCCTGCAAACTTGAAAAAATGCTGTCTATTGAAATATCCACTTATTCCTCTGTGTTCTGTCTGCAGATTTTATGCCTCTCATATAGTGTTATTTGTAGTATAAATGTCTTAAGTTTATGTGTCAGTTACCATTTTAAATGCTCAGGACAAATTTTATTTATGTTTTTACTGTTTTTATGTTTTTACCTTCTACATGCTAGATGTTTGCTTAATGAGTGTTTGTTCTCTGAAAGGTACTATAGATACTCATATAAATTCCACTTAATACATAAGACACACTTGAAATTCCACATCTTTAATAGAACCTTCTCTGATCATCTGAGATTAAACAATTAACGCTTGTACTCTAAGTAAGACACTATCATTTAACTAACTTAACTTTTTCATTTACTCTTTAATTTTCCAAATTAGAAAAAAATATTTTATCTTCTTCACACTCAGCCCTTTGGGTCAATACACAGTTTGGAAAGTGAAGGTAGCACCTTCATCTAGAAAATATGAAAACTTCCTGCTCCAGGTACAAACAGCCCCAAGGCAGAGCACAAAAGGTTTTGATGCATTGAATAAAGCAGGCCTC